TCTGCATCTGTCACAACAGCTCTTCGCTGCTTCGAGGGCGCTGAAAGAGGGCACATCCTGCCGCTGGGGTAAATTTCCGAAAATACGACTCCCCCTCTCACTTTCGTCCTCTGTTACGACTTCCATCTGCTCCCTACTTTATCTTGCCTTCTTGTCCCCCTTTCCAACTTTTCCAACCTTCGTGTTACTTTTATCGAAATTTCCTTAAAATTTTCTAGTTTCTCCCAAAAACTTTACCGTATTGCCGCCGAGCGGGTTTAGGGAGTATATCTCACCGTGAAAACGGGAAAAATCGTCGTGAAAAGTGAACAGGAGAACACTGCAAATTTTCTCAGGAGCGAATATTACTCCTCCCTACAGCGACCAAACACGACTCCCCCCCCCCGCTGGGGATTCCCCAAGTAGGACGTGCTCTGCGCTGAAAGCGAATCGCAGCGAGAAGAGCTCTGATGGCGGTCCAGACCATTACGTACTAGCACTCGAACATTTCACTTACCGTAACCAAACTTCTCAATAAGTTTAGCGTTCCTAGTTTGATCGCCAAATAGGGGAACGACAACAAGTGGCTTTGCGCGAAGAGCACTTTCCATCATACTCCCAGCGCCGCCGTGTGTGACGAAAAGTGTTAGACGTTTATCTGCTGAAAACTGAATATCCTGTACTGAACACATGCTCTTTTCTTTTCGGCTTGAAAAGGTGCGCTCCATCCTTTCGCCACAATTTTTTGCTTGTTCATGCTACCCGACAAGTCTCCCGTTGGTGAACTCTGTGAACTTCCAAAGCGGATGTACAAGTGAGACACCTCCGGCTATAGAAACTTACAGGTCTTCACAGGTGGCATGTACAAGCTAGTAGTAAGTACCATATGGCGACCCCACCAAATCGAACTGCGCCAAATCATTCACCTAGTAGACAGCTTTGTGGCGTCCATTCCGAAAGAATCAGATTATCTATTCCTTTGAACATTTCATCATCTGGAACCTCGTACTTCCAAATAAACGTGACGGTCGGGTATCTGAAACGTTCCAGGTCATTCAAATGTGACACAATACACGAAATTTGGTGAACGGTATGAGTAGTAGGACTGTTTGACCAGTACATGTCTATTTGTTGTTCATTTGTTTTAGTGATCAATCATTTGCGACGGATCAAAAAAGCAGGGGAGGCTCGGCTCAGAGGCAATTTGCACCTCCTATCGTTTCTTCTGTTAGCTCCTGGAACAGCATAGTACCATGATTCCAGCCCCCATCGCCTGGGCAATTCTACAAGAACCAACCATACATCGTGACTTTCATTTCTGGTTTTATTCTTCAGTTTTGAAATCTTTGGGGCGGCTCTTTTGAATTCTCCTTCTTTTTCAACTACTGAAGCTGTACAGGGGGGCCAAAAAAGTCACTTTGCTTCATTGACTTTCGAGGCGCTATAAGTTACACTTTATAAATTCTGATCGGACATTTCTACCACCATATTAAAGAGCATATTAAATACTATTATGACACTCCGCCACAGCCTTCTGGAGGAGCGCCATCGAGAGATTCTGGCACGCAACCGCGATGTGCCTGAGATCAGCGAGATAGTCGATTTCTCCGCCACCGTAGACCACCCTATTGAACTACGCCCGAGCCAGGTAACTGAAGGGATTCAGCTCAGGTGACCTACTTGGATATACCATCTTCTTTAGGTACTCAGCCCCTTCCATTCCAAGTAGGCGAGAGTTTCTCCAACGCCCTTCGATTCCACGTGGTGGCACCCAATGCTGTAGCAGTACAAAGTTTCCAAGAAGGTACGGGCGACGACATGTGGGGAAGATATTCTTCTTGAGTTGGTCGATGTAACCGCCAGCGCTCAGCTTCAGCCCGGGGTCCACGAAGAAAATATTGGTCTTTCCATTCCAGGTGCGTCCGGTCCATACCATCAACCCGCGCCTTGGCGACTGCCGTGAAGATGATGTCCTAGACCGTAGCGACGTTGTCGAAGCTGCCCCCTCGCATGATGGAGGTCTCCCAGATCGCAGAGTAGATCTTCAAGATAGATCTTAAAAGATCTGTCCCCACCCTCTTGAAACATTGCTGTCAATTCCTCTTTTTCATATGATGCCTTTCAACAAATTTCTATGAAACTTACGATTTTACGACAGAAATGATGGCTTTCTTCATTGATTCAGGCATATACTGGCTTTGGGCTACTGTGCCAAAAGAGATGAGAATAGTTCGTTCTCTGAGGCTCATAATGCGATCCCATTCCTGGAACACAGATTGCATGCACTCTAAGGTTTCAACTGGTGAGGTAACTATGACAAGAAAACCAACTTTAGTCAGTGGTTTCGGCTCGTGCACTCCAAGACCTCCAATGTCGACAACTTTGTGCAGCGTGGGTCTTTCGAAATCCATCAGTGGTTCAGAATTCACCAGCACCCATGATATATTTGAAACTGTGTCCTGTAATCGTTTTGATTTATCTCAGGTCGTTATACTGCAAATCCTCCCTGAGATGCTGCAGGCGTGGCTGCATACTCCTTTCGGGGCGGCCGCTGCACATTTGCTAAGATCCTTTCATTTTGTGACAGTTGTAATCCTAGTAATCACATTATTGTCTAATATAAAGATGACAGTTGTCTTGACTCGAGGTATCTTACGAATAGCAAATTTTAAATCCTGCCCAATCAGCAGCATAGACCATAAACTAAAGCATCCACGCCCACCACGACTCAGAAAAGAGTGTATGGTCGTTCTTGCTGCAGACTCTGGTGTGTGTCAAAGGCGAGGTGCTTGGTTTTGGCGGCTTCAGCCCGTTATTCGCCAGTTGTTTTGCTTGCCTGCTTCGACTATTGGGAGGATGGGTTGTCGCCGTGCCAAACTCGCCCCTCCCCCTGATACCTTTAGCGATACGATTGCATGTGTAGAGTGGGATAGAACGTGAACGTTTACTTTTCCAATAGAGCCTTATTATGAAACGATCTCGTTCGTGTAGAAAGTTCACCTCCTGCTGGAATTTCCTTCGCTGGCTAACGGAGGAACTATTAGAACTATCTCAATATTTTCTCCAACACCTGGCTTCGAAACTCAATCAAGAGCAAGTGATAATAACCCACCCATATTGGGGTGACAGCTGGGCCAAGCTTTTCTCTCATAACTCGTTCGGCAGCACTGGCAATACCTGTTTGGAAGTACCACGAGAGATAGGTGAACAAGAGGTTCATGGCACGTGTCCACATATCAGTAGAATCATTCGTTACACCAAGAGATGCTGAAAGATTGCACGATTGAAGAACAGAACTAAATTTTAGGCTTAATATTT